ATGATTTTCTAAAACAGATCTCCCTATGTCACCCTGGATTCCTGATCTGAGCTTGCTCAGTTTGAATTTTCCTCTTTCTCCTAAAAGTTGAATGAGAAGGGTGTTGGGGGGAGGAGAGATGGGAAGGAGGAAGAAAGGAGAAGGAAGGGACAGATAACTGGTTGTCTCAGGGCTCTGCTCAGTCAAGGTTTTTGTGCATGCCATCACCTCATCATCCGATTGGGGTTGCCTGTCCTAGGAAGATGTGCAAAAGGGATGAATAGACACACTGTTATTAAATTCTCTCTCAAGGGATCATGGGGCTGAAGAGAGCCTTGGAGTTCATGTACTCTAACCCTCTCATTTTGCAGATAAAGAAACTGAAGCTCAGAGAGGAAAAGAGGACCAGCTGATGCAGTAGAAGACCAGCAAAGTCTGTGCTGCAAAATGCCAGGTATGCATAAAAAAGTCAGGACTACAGAGACAAAGGGATGGTAGTAGAAGAAGTCAGAAGACCTGAGTTCAAATCCAAGCTCTGCCACTGACTCACAATGTGACTTTAGCCAATAAAATCACCCTCCCAGGGCCTCAGTTTCCTCATTTGTAAAATGAGGAGGTTCAATTCAACGGCCTCTGGAGTCCCTTCCTGCCCCCGATTTACCATGCTATGAACGTGAACCAGGGAAAGGGGACAACACTCCCGGTATCTTCATCTCCCTCTGACCCTAAGAGCAACGCCATCAGTACTTTACATCAACATACCAAAGATCAACGATTTCCCTGAGAGAGACATCAGAGATACCTCTAAATCTGGAGTTCTATGTAGACAGACAAGGAAGATATGACATTCCATCTTCCTCTGTCTTCTGACATTTCCTCTCTTTTCAGATGAGGGAATTGAGGCCAATTTTAAGGGACTTGCCCAAGGTCACTCAGGCATTAAGCATCAGAGGAATGCTTACCCACCATGGTAGCTGAAGAAGTATTGCCTCATCCCCATTCCCTACCCCCCACCCCACCCTGCTCCATTGGGGCTTTGCTGGGTCAAGTTTACAGAAACAGGGTGTAGGGATACAGACTCACAAACTAATTCCTCCAGACTCCTCCATTCAAACCAGGACACAGGTCACATAGAAACTAATTGAGGGACACTGGTGTCCGCTGACCTCTCCCAACAGGCAAATACCCTCTGATGCCCATGGCCAGAGAAGGAGATGGAAGGATCGATCCCATAACAGGACTCATCCACAGGGAAAGGGAGATACCACTGCTGGGTTTTCATGACACCAAGGCTCTGGCCAGAAGGGTTTCTTCCCAGAACCGGCTGAATCAGCTGTATAATCTAGCATCGACAAGGCCCAGCCTTTGAGATGATCTTTGAGTTGGTTCCAGAGGGAACAGAGTTTAACAGTCAAGGTCCAGCCCCAATAAACTAATCCTGGACATTTTTTGCAAGATGAAACGAGGAGAAAACTACAATTAATGCCCTAGGAGAAACTACAAAAAAGACCAGGGAATCCAAGAAATTCTGCAAATATTTATTAAATACTTGCTACATGAAAGGCCCTAGGTCTAGCTAAAAAGAGACATGACCCAGGTCTGACTTTCAAGGGATCTTAAATCTAATGGTTGGAGGTGAGAGAAAGACAAGGGCATTAGTAACTTTGGTATATTGGAAAGCGGGTCAAGTACGAGAGAAAGATCAGGGTCAAATACCTGGTGCTGAATTCAGATACAAGGCAGCAAGCAGAGGATGAAACACACCTCTCTTCCGGCACTAAATGTTGTGCTTGCTGCCGGGATGCGTGGTCACTGTGTCGATGGTTTTGCTTGGATGATTTTCTGTGTAACACAAATTGCTTAGAGATTCAGGGAGGGGAGTAATGGGAAGTGTCTCCAATGTAAAAAAAAACAAAGGGCATAGATTAAACTCAAAAAATTATACTAAAGTTCCTCCATGTCACACTAATCACCAATTCAACCACACTTCAGCATGAGATCGTGAAAAAGTGCTGGGTTTATAATCGTAGAACCCAAGTTCTGTCTGTGTGACCCTGGACAACTCACTGCCCCTCTATAAAGCTCAGTTTCCTTGTCTGTAAAATGGGAGGAGGGAGTTTGGACTAGATTACTTCTGAGATGCCTTCTACCTCAAGATCTATAAGCCTATGACCTTCCTGGGCCTCAGTTTCTTCACATATAAAATGACTGAGGTCCTTTCCAGCTCCAGAGTTACACTCCTATGAGTCCATGACAGTGAAGTCTCACTACCTGTGTGACCCTGGGAAAATCTCTTTTTGAAACCCTTTTTGAGTTTCAATCAGCTAGATTCACTGAACCTGGAATCAAGAAGACTCTTAGCCTCTCTCAGTCTCAATTTCCTCATCTGTAAAATGGAGCTAATAATGGCACCGGGTTGTAGTACGGATCACATGAGATAATCTGTGTTGAGCTCTTGGCAACCGTTGGAAGACTAGAGAAATGCAAGTTATGATTGTTGCCTCAGTTTCCTCTTCTGTAAAAATGGGGGAAATTGAGGCATTTAATATAGATAATGTAGGTAAAACCCTTACAAGCCCAAAGCATTCCCTACATGTAGCCAGCTGGGAGGAGGAGGAGGTCAGTCCAGAAGCCAGGGTCAGTCTCTTAACTTTTTTGCACAGACTTGGCCATCAGAATGATTAAACCACGTCAGCAAGTGGGCACAGCTGAGGCTCTGGGGAGCTGGCCTCCCTCTGCCCACGAGCACCAAAACCCACTCAGGTCCCCAACATCATGAGAATGAGGTTCAGGTGCCCATTCCCAGAATGTCAGAACAAAAAGAGCCCTTGACGACCATCTAGTAACTAGATGGCTAGATTCTAGTCCAACGCCCTCACTTTTCACAAGAGAAAACTGAGGCTCAAGGAGGAAAAGGGACTCCCTAAAGTCCCTTGCCTAATAACAATCTATCAAGGTGGATTTTGAACCCAGGTCTTCAAGTCCCAGGGCTAGGGCTCTTACCACCAGGCCAAATCTCCTCTGCCCACTCTATCTGGTACACATGAAAGCCTTCTGGTCACCTGTTTGCTCCTCTATACTACTCCTCATTATTACTCCTCATCTGTCCTAATTATTCCTCTTCTCCCTTCCTCATCCTCTCATTTGCAAGTCTCAGGGCAATGTCTATACCCAGGCAACCAGTGGGTTTGATCAGTTAGGCCCAATCCAATCCAAAAACTTCAGTCAAATTGGCCACATATTTGACTGACCCCAACTGATTATTTAATTAAATCAGTTGAATCTAGACAAGATGACCCAACAGATAATGATGAGCAGACCCACATGAGGGGATGTCACCTCGTTCTCATCTGTCTACTTAGAGCCTTGACTTTAGGTTCTTAATTATAATCCTAAGTCTCAGATAAGGTCCTAGCCAACTCTAAAACCCATGGTCCTGACAAAATACAGAAATAATCAATGTTGGAGGAGCTGTGGAAAGACAGGCATGCTAATACACTATTGGTGAAACCATTAATTAGCTCATCCATTCTAGACAGCAGTTTGGAATTCTGCCCTCCAAAAGTGACTAAAATGTTCATATCCTTTGGCCCAGAGATCCTGCTGTTAAGGGGTATAACCCTAGGTGGTAAAAAAAAAAAAGAAGAAAGAAAGAAATGTCACATATACTGCCCACCTTCTGACAGAGAAAAGGTGGACAGAAGATGCAGAATGAAAAATACATTTTGGACATAGTTGATACATGGACTTTTTTTTTGCTTGATTATGCTTTTTGGTTTCAATGATCATGCTTTCCTTTAAAAAAAAAAGTGAGGTAAAGGTATTTAGGGGGAGGATAAGTAGCAATAGTGTTGCCCTCAGAGAAGAAAAATGGCCATTGGAACATTTTTTTTTTTGGCGAGGCAATGGGGTGAAGTGACTTGCCCAGGGTCACACAGCTAGTAAGTGTAAAGTGTCTGAGGCCAGATTTGAACTCAGGTCTTCTTGAATCCAGGACCAGTGCTCCATCCACTGTGCCATCTAGCTGCCCTGGAACATTTTTTTTAGTGCACAGAAGAGAATGGAAGGAAATTCAGAAGGAAATAGAGATAAGCAGGACAGATTTGAAAGTAATATGTTTAATTTATTATGTATTTTTAAAAGCAAAATGTGCGTACAAGTGATATATGGTTTCACATATAATCCTCTTTTTGACCTACTTTGTACATAGAAATGTTCACTGTTTGGAGGGACTTTGTTCAATTAAATTTCTTTTTAATTTTAATATTTTTTTTTAGAAAAGAAAGGTCTCACATACATCAAAATTCCCATACCAGCATTTTTGTGGTATCAAAGAGCTGGAAACAAATTATATGCCCCTTGATTGGGGCATGACTAAATAAGTTATGGATAAGTTGAGGTACATAAATGGAGTGAAACATTACCATGCTGAAAGAGCATTGAATAGGACGCTTAGAGAGAAGCATTAGAAGACTTACATGAACTGAGGCAGACCCAAAGTAAACAGAACCAAGAAGGCATTCTATATGGCCACCACCACAATGTGAACATAAAAACAAAACCGAATACTGCGGATTGGCCTTGGAGAAGACATGAGAAAACACAGCTCATCCTTTTCTTAGAGATGTGGGGGGTGGGGATGGGATGTTTATGAATGTGGAATGTTGTTATTAACCCATGTTTTTCTTTTTACTGTCTTTGTTACAAAAGAAAGCTCTCTGGCTAGAGAGGACGGAATGGATGCAGAAATGAAAGAGATATAAAGACAGAAGTCATCAACAGAACTTTTATAATGATAGTGATAAGTCCTGTGGTCCTGAGATCACCTAAGGATAGGAAAGGTGCCCACACACTGAGATTCAGATGTACCCAAAGGAGCCAGGCCAGGGGGCAGGAAGGCACCAATGCCCACATAGCCAAGAAGCAGATGAATTCTTCAGAAGAGAACAAGTTGAAACATAGCCCAGTCCACAGAAGGGGACTATCCTTTTTAAATAAGGACCATCTCTGGTAACACTCACCGGCCACCACACCATACTCCGGCCTGCCAGGAAGAAGCCTCCAACAGTCCCACGATTGGTTGACAGCATGGCCTAGAAGGATAAGATCAGAAGCTTAATAGGTAATCCAGAAGAATCTGATGAGATTTACAAAAATAACACCCCCTTCCCATTCTATATCACACCCCACCTGGACTCCATAAAGTCCTGCTCTGATCTCTCATGGTTTAGGGGAGGTGAACATAGGTCTTCAAAGGCTCCACCAATGGAGAATAGGTCCTCACAGTTCCTACCAAGCTAGAAAGGCTTCAGGTACAGGCTGGACAATAGCTGTCCAACAGCTAGCCAAGCCAAGCACAGAGGGGCAAATCACCAGGACTGGATGAACTGTTCAACCACAGCAAACTATGGAACAAAGAAAACTACAAGATGGTCTTTGGCTCTACTGGGGGACTCTTCTGTTTTTGCAGGGACTGTGGTGAATGGTAGAAAAAGGGCAGAGGATGTCTTTTGCCTTTGTTTATATCCCCAGTTCTTGGCTGTGCTTGACACACAGTAGCTTAACAAATGTTTATTGACTAACTGGCCTTCGCTTGTGGACTCAAACCATTTCCATCGGAATGGGCCCACGAAGGGTCCGAGTTAGACCAACTTTGGAACCATTGTGAATTTTACCTAGGTAAACCTTTTACGTAGGGAGAGGGCAGGATGGGGATTGGTGTAGGCACAAAGGTCCTTCCTCCCAGAAGATGTGGGTACTCAGAAAGAGCTAGAATTCCACCGATGCCTCATCATTCTGCTTCCCTCCAGGACTCAGCTCAAGAGTCACCTCCACTAGAAGGCTTTCTTGATTTCTTTTCTGGGAAGCCTGGCTTCTGTGCCCTGACATTCCCTGTTCTAAGGCTCCTCCCAGCTCTCACATTCCATATCCTCAGTCCTCTTAGACTCTAGGTTCAGATATCTATTTGCTGTACCACAGTAGGGACCAAACATTGTGCATTACACAGAGATTATTCAGTTGTTTTTCAGTTGTGTCTGACTCACCATGACCCCATTTGGGGTTTCTTGGCAAAGATACTGAAGCAGTTTGCCATTTCCTTCTCCAGCCCATTTTACAGATGAGGAAACTGAGGCAAACAAGGTGAAGCAAGGTGACTTGCCCAGGGTCACAGCTAGTAAGTGTCTGAGGCCAGAATTGAACTCAGGAAAATGAATTCTCCTGACTCCAGGCCTGGCGCTCTATTACACAGAGAAGACATTAGTAAATTTAAGTGGAACTAAATGTTCTTTCTCTCCCACCTCTGTGCCTCTGCACTGGCTTCTCCCAGACCTGGCATGCTCTCACTCCTCACTTCCTCGGGTCTCATCTCCAATGACACCTTGGGCAGGAGGCCTTTCCAAGGCTCCCAGTGCTAGATCCTTTCCTTTGAGCTGACCTTCCATGGACTCCATAGATCTAATACTCATATTGTCTCCTTGTAAGGGAGGTCCTTGAGGGCCTATCCTCAGTGCTTAGCACAGTGCCTCGAACACAGTAAGTGCTCAATAAATGCTTGTTCACTGACTGGCTGACTGACTGTCTTCTCTGGCCTGCCTTCCTCTTTCCTATCACCTCATGCATAGACTCTCAGATCTCTCACGCCCCCCAGAGCAGTATCTAAACACTGTCTCCTCTCACTGTCACCTCCTCTTCAGGGCCACCCCACACCCGCCCCTGTTCACTTCATTGTCAGCCAGCCCATGCATCTGCATCATGGTGAAGCTTCCAAGCCAACTGGCCCTCAGTCCCTCCGCCCTCTGATTCCTCCTTCCCACTGCCATCCTCCTAATGCATAGTGAAAAGAGCACTACATTTGAAATCTGAGGGCCAGCCTTTGAATCCTGGGTCTGCTACTTATTCCCTAGGTAACCTTGGCTTCCTTCCCTAACCTCCCTGGGCCTCAGTTTTCCTCATCTGTGAAATGGAGAGATTGGACTCAATGATCTCTAAGATCCCTCCCAGCTCTAAATTTTCCATCCTATGATCAATGTCACCATTGAGGCTTACTGCCTAGATGACCTTGAGCAAGCGTGTCACTAAATCTCCCAGGGCCTCAGTTTCCTCCCCTGTAAAATGCTTGTTGAAGGGAATGGAATGGTCTCTGAGGTCCTAGCCACCTTCTACTGTCTGTGATTCTGAGAGGTGATTGGGTGGTCCAGTGGTTAGGAGGCTGGACCTGGAGTCAGGAAAACCTGAGTTCAAATCCAAACTTGGACACTAGCCCAAGTGACACTAGACAAGTCACCAAACTTCTGTTTGCCTCAGTTTCTTCAACTGTAAAGTGGAAATAATAATGGTACCTATCTCCCAGGTTGTTGTGAGGATAAAATGAGAAATGATTTAGAAAGTGCTTACCACAATGACAGGCACATAGTAAGCACTTTATAAATGTTTCCTTTCCTAACATATAACTAACTCTAGGACACTCACGCCCTCAAAAGGAATGGAAACAGTACTAGATTGGAAGCCAGGGAATCTGGGTTCTCTTCCCATCTGGACCACTTGCCTCACTCTACCACTGTGACCTTGTATAAGTCACTTCCTCTAAGCTCTCAGGAGCCTAAACTTAGAAGTTAAAAGGATCCAGAGGCCATGTAGTACATTCAGCTCATTTTACAGATGAGGATAGTGACCCCAAAGAGTGACTTGCCCAGTGTGACTCAGCTATTAATTGTCAGAGGTGAGATTTGAACCCAGACCTTCCCCAACTCAAGTAAGTCCAGCCTTCTACCCAATACTCCATACTGCCTCTCTGTCCTCAGTTTCCTTCCTGGTAAAATGGAGGGAGGGGGAGGGACTAAGATGGCCTTGAAGGTAACTCCCAGCTCTCATTCTACAATCTACTCAATGTGCTGGCAGGAAAGCTGGGGGAGGTTCGTGCAAAGCGATACAAAGCACTAAGGAAGACGCTGGCAAACGTGGGAACAATCAGAGTCAGGCGCTGAGGGGCCGTTATCCATGTGACAAAGTGAGAGAAAGCCCAGCAAGAAGGACTCGTGGGCGGCAGGCCGGCAGAGCACAGGGGAGAGGCCAGGATCCTCCTCTGAGAGGCAGCCAGATAGCATCTCTCACAGGAGACGTTCTCAGGACTCTCCAGGCAAAAAGAATGTGAACTGAAGGCTATGGGGGCCATAAAGTGAGGCAGCAGGCTGTAGAGAATGAGGTTTATGAGCAGGCATAAAAGGTGAAATGGTCAGCGTTGGACTAAATGGCCATTAATGAGGCATGAACATTGGAAAGGTGTAAACACCTCAGAGGCAGGAGAGAGCAGATGAGCTGAGGAAAGGACAAGAGATTAGCAGAGTGTATCCGGGAAAGACTTGACCCCAGGGGAAAACACCATCAGCGAAGGTCCCTGGGGTGGGACAGAAGATAGGGTCCCATCAATGGGCTAGTTGGTTTGGACTCCAACCTGGCCTATGTACAACTCCGTGTCCTGGTGCTGTGGGCTCCAATAGCCAGAGGCCAGAGCTGGGAACCAAGGGCGCTGGGTTCTCTGCTCCTGACTCTGCTGCTACGTCCCTAGGCGACCTCACTGCTCTGCATCTCAGTTTGCTCAGCTATTAAACGGAGAAAAGCATGAGGGGATAGTATGATAGAGGAAAGCAGGCTAGGAGTCAGATGATACATTGTGTGACCTCCCTGTGCCTTGGTTTCCCTATCTGTAAAAAGAGGGGATTTAGACTTGGTGACTTCTAAGGTCTTTTCTGCCAGCTAGTCAACTAGCCTGCAATGATCCTAAGACCCCAGCTGGGTTAGAGCCATGGCCCTGTCTGGTTTGGACAATTCCTAAGTAATTCATTCAGTACCGTCACTGACTCCTGGATAAAAGGTCCTCAGCAGTTCCTAAAGAATTAATCCTCAATGCCTTCATCTTCTGAGCCACCCAGAGTTAAGCAAGGGAACCGCACTCACCCCTGCCTCCTCACTCAGTCACCTTTACAACCACAGAACCCACTTGGGAAGTTTGCTGGCTAAGCCACCCCCTTCCCTGTCCCCTGGGTGTGCCCTGAGAACAAGTTTCTCTGGTTAGGTGCCATGTCCGCCTCCTTCATAATCCGGGAAGAGTTACCAGTGTCTGAAGGGCTGGCTGCCAGGCAGCTAATTCTTGGACCCTTCTGGAGCCCCAGACCCCTAGGCATCCTGCCCATTCTCATTGGCATCCACAGGGCACTGAAGGCCTGGCAGCCCAAGCTAGCTCTCTCAGTGTCTGAATGTGGAACACCTGTTAGCTTTTGAGGAACATGGCCTATGGCCTCCCAGCTCTGCACCTGACCCTGAACCACTGGGCAAGCCCCTTTCCTGCCTTTTCTGGTTCTGGTGCCCAGACCCTCACATTCTACCTTCTATCCTTCTCTAAATTCTCTAGCCCTCTTGTGGACTCCATGCCCCCTCCCTGCCTCACTGGGCTCTCCTACCTTCTGTTTCCCCATCACCATTCCCAGACCCTCACGTGATGCCGATAGATGGCCCTTTCTCCAAGCCCTTCCCTCTTCTCTCACCCCCCAGCTCCCAGCCCCTTGAGCCTATCATTAGCCTGGCCTCCTTGGATGCCCTCTGTTATAGACTCAGCCCCTGCCTCCACCACCTTCCCATCTCCTGCTGCCTCGGTCATTCTTAATCCCTCAAACTGCCCCTTGCTTCTCCTTCCCCAAGTTTCTGAACTATACTGCTAACCCAGAAACTCCCCTTCACTTCCCTTCTCTCTGCCTCCCCAGTCCCTCTTCCTTGCTGCAGCACAGCGCTGTCTCAGCCCGGGCTTTCCAACTCCGTGGCTCCCCTGCTCCCTCCCTGCACCCCACTTCCCATGCATCAGTCCTCTCCAAGTCATAGGGTCATAGACTCTCCAGCTGGAAAGACCTTTAAGCACAGGGTCAGATCACCCTTTAGAAAATAGTATGTCTAGATTGGGAGGGTTCTTAGAACAGGGAGCATTGAATGTCTGTCAGATCTGGGACTTAGAACAGACTGTCAGAGCTCAACAGAGAGTGTCATAGCTAGAGAGCTAACTCAGCTAGTTCTACGCCCTCATTTTAAGGGCTCAGAAGGGTGAATGACTTATCCTAGGTCTTACAGTCACCCCCTTAGCTCCCACTGTCCATGCTCTTCTGCCCTTCCCCTGCCCCTGGGTCTCCCACGTACCCACAGCCCCACAGCCATGACCACCACGAAGTAGATGACAATGACTGAGATGTCCGCAGCATTCTTGATGCGATCCGATGACAGGGGAGGCTCGGAGGTCCCGGGAGAGATGCTGGGGCTCACGGTGGCGTCCATGGTGGCAGACTCGTCCGGACTGACAGACAGACCGTTCTGTGCCGTCCCGGCCCGCTGCCTTCCTTCTTATAGCGCCTGTGTCCGGGTTAATGATCAGCCCCGGCCCGGGGAGGGGAGGGCAAAGGAGGCAGTGGAGGGCAGGACAGGGGAGTGGCTGGAGAGGTGGGAGAGGGAGGCCCCCTCTGGATCTTGGGGGTGGGGAGCAGGTCCTTCCTGGGCAGACTCCCTTGGGCACAGATACTGGGGTGGATCTGAGAGGAGAGTGCCGGGCTCCTGGGATCCTGAGAAAGGCGGAGGCAGGGGTAGGGCAGGACTGGGGCAGGGCAGGTATCAAGCCGGTGTGGGGAGGAGCCTAGGCGGCCTGACGAAGGGAGAGGAGGGTGCCAGCCTGGCCTTAGGGATCCCAGGCCCAAGAATGGTGGTCATTCCTGATGCTTGACTCCTGCTCAGGCCAACGCTGGGGGGCCCTGAGTGGCCCTGGGCATGCTGATTACCCTCTCTGGACCTCAGTTTCCACAGTTGTAAAAAATGGACAGAATAACCTAGTGGAAAGAAGGTTTGATTTCCTGGGTCGAAATATGGACTCTGCCACTGGCTCCCTCTGTGACTCTGGTCAAGTCCCTTGACCACATGGAAAACAGACACAGTCCTGTAAAGGAAAGAGCACTGCATTTGACTTCTAGGAAACCAGGCTCAAATGCAGCCTCTGTTACTGGACACCTAGGTAGCCCTCCTCCAGTCACTTGCACCATCTACCTCAAGAAACTCTTGTGAGGAAATCCATTCAATCTGAGGCAGTGTGGCCTAGTGGAAAGAGAGCTGACTTAAGCAGAAAGTGTAGGGAGTGCTAGCCTTGGAGTCAAGAAGACCTGAGTTCAAATCTAACCTTAGCTATGTGACCCTGGGTAAGTCATTTCATCTCTGTCTGCCTCAATTTCCTCATCTGTAAAATAGATTTAAGAATAACAACTACCCAATGGACTTGTTGTAAGGGTTAAGTAAGACAGTATTTATAAAATACCTTGCCACTCTGTAAGTGCTATGTAATAATAATAATGATAAACATTTATAGCTTAGCATTTATGTAGTGCCTTAAAGTTTCCAGAGTGCTTTACAAATCTTATCTCATCATTCCCTCACAATAACCATGGGAGGTAGGTGCTTATTATGATGCCCATTTTACAGATAAGGACACTGAGGGGGAGGGAAGAATAAGTGTTTCTATAGCATCTTTTATTCACCAGGCATTGTGCTAAGTGCTTTTTACAAATATTATCTCATTTGATCCTCACAACAACATTTCAAGTTAGATGCTCTTATAATACCCATTTTAGTTATGGAAGCTGAGGCATATAAAGGTGAAGTGACTGGCCCAGGCTCACACAGCTAGTGAGTGTCTGAGGCACGGTTTGAGCTCAGGTCTTCCTGACTTTACATCATCATAGCTTTTAACATACTTTTCTTTTTAAATTTTAAGGTCCAGATTCCCTCCTACCTGCTCCTCCCCTACCCACTGAGAAGGCACAAATATACATGTGAAATCATGCAAAACATATTTCCATATTAGCCATATCACCAAAAAAAGGCAAAAAAAAAAGAAGAAATCAAGAAAATTCTACTCCAGTTTGCACTCAGAATTAATCATTTCTCTCTTTAGAGATGGATAGCATTTTTTCATCACGAGTTCTTTGGAGTTGTCTTGGATCATTGTATTGATCAGAGTAGCCGGGTCTTTCACTGTTGATCATCATTACACCATTCCTGTTACTGTGCACAATGATCTCCCAGCTCTTCTCACTTCACTTTGTGTCAGTTTATATAGTTCTTGTCATGGTTTGCTTTTTTTTGTGAAACCACTCTCTTCATCAACATAATCATATTCCAACATAATCATATGCCATAACTTGTTCAGTCATTCAGTTACCCCTTCAATTTCCAATTATTTGCCACCATAAAAAATTGCTATAAATATTTTTGAACATATAGGTCCTTTTCCTTTTTCTTTGCTCTCTTTGGAGTATAGATGTAGTAGTGGTATTGCTGGGTCAAAAAGTATACACAGTTTTATAGCCCTTCAGGCATAATTCCAGATTGTTCTCCAGAATGATTAGAGCAGTTGCCTACTCTACCAATGGTTCATCAGTTTACCTATTTTCCCTCATCCCCTCCAGCATGTCATTTCTGATAGGTATGAGGTGGTACCTCAGAGTTGTTTTAATTTGAATTTCTCTAATCAATAGTGATTTAGAGCATTTTTTCATGTGACTATGGATAGCTTTGGTTTCTTCATCTGAAAAACTGCCTGTTCATATCCTTTGATCATTTATCAATTGGGAAATGGCTGTTATTTTTTATAAATTTGACTCAATTTTACTATACTTAGTACATATTTGAGAAATGAGGCCTTTATCAGAGAAACTTGCTGTGAAAAAATTTTTGATACAACTTCATTGTCAGTTATCTTTCAGCAAAATGTAGTTTCCCTGATTATCTCTTTCAATTAGGTCTAATTTTGCTTTGGTTCATCTGAGATTATGATTGCTATCTTTCCCTTTTTTACTTCAGCTGAAGCATTCTGCTCCAGCCCTTTATTTTAAGTCTATGTGTGACTTTCTGTTCCAGCTGTGTCTCTTGTATGTAACATATTGTTGGATTCTGATTTCCAACCCATTCTGCTATCTGCTTCCATTCTGAGGATTAGCTCATCTCATTCACATTAAAAGTTATAATCACTAACTATGCATTTCCCTCTGTCCCATTTTTTTCTTTTTATCCTTCCCTTTTTCTTTTTATCCTGTCCCTCCTCAAAAGTCTGCCTTGCTTCAGACCACTGTTACCTCCAATCTGCCCTCCCACTTGTCATCCCTCAAAAAAATCTCTTATCCCCTTCCCCTCCTATATCCCTATTGGGTGAGAAAGATTTCTATACCCAAGTGACTGTGCATGTGTGTATGTGTGTGTGTGTGTGCACATATATATATATGTATGTATATGTGTGTGTGTGTGTATATACCACATGCACATATATTTTCCATCTTTGAATCAATTTTTATGAGTGAGGTTTAAGCATTGCCTGACACCCACCCATTTTCCCCTCCATTACACAAGCTCTTTTAAGTGAGAAAAATTTCCCCATTCTACCTCTCCTCTTCCCTCTTTTGTCAGTGCATCCCTCTTTCTCACCCTCACATTCTTTTTTTGAAAATCATCTCAGCATAATCAACTCATACCTGTGCCCTATGTCTATGAAAACTCCTTCTAACTCCCCTAATAACTATAAAGAGATAAAATAATAATGATAAAGATTCTTAAGAGTTACATTATCATACTCCCATATAGGAATGCAAACATTTTAACTTTATTGGGTCATTTTTGATTTCTTTTTCATATTTACCTTTTTATGCTTCCCTTGAGTCTTTTCTTTTACTGTCAAATTTTCCATTCAGCTCTGATCTTTTCATCAGGAATGCTTGAAAGTCTTCTGTTTCTTTAAATATCCATTTTTGCCCCTAAAGGATTGTATTCAATTTTGCTGTGTGGGTTAGTCTTGGTTGTAATCCTAGCTCCTTTGCCCTCCTGAATATTATGTTCCAAGCCCTCTGTTCCTTTACCATGGAAACTGCTAAATCTTGTGTGATACTGATTGTGGCTCCACAATATTTGAATTGCTTCTTTCTGGTTGCTTGAAATATTTTTTCTTTGATATGGGAGCTCTGGAATTTGGCTACAATATTCCTAGAAGTTTTCATTTGGGGATCTCTTTCAGGAGATGGGTATTTTCAATTTCTATTTTATCCTCTGGATCTAAAATATCAGGGCAGTTTTCCCTTATAATTTCTTGACATATGATGTCTAGCCTCTTTCTTTGATCATGTCTTTCAAGTAATCCCATAATTCTTAGATTATCTGTCCTCAATCTATTTGCCAGGTCAGTTGTTTTCCAATGAGTTATTTCACATTTTCTTTCATTTTTTTTCATTCTTTTGACTCTATTTTATTGTTTCTTAATGTTTAATGGAGTCATTAGCTTCTGCTTGCCCAATGCTAGTTTTTAAGTAATTATTTTCTTCTTAAGTAATTTATTATTAATTTAAGTAATTATTTCGAGGAGGGGAAGGGGATAAGAGATTTGGGGGGGGGATGACAAGGAGGAGGGCAAATTGGAGCAGACAGTGGTCAGAAGCAAGGCAGACTTTTGAGGATGGACAGGATAAAAAGAGAGAGAGAGAAGGATAATATAGTAAATAGAGGTAATTTGGCCTATGCTGCTTTTAAAGGAATTCTTTTCTCCAGTTAATTTTTGTGCCTCTTTGACCAGTTGAGCAATTCTGTTTTTCAAGGTGATATTTTCTTCAGGATTTTTGATGCCTTTTTTACCAAGCTGTTAATTCTCTTTTCACAATTTTCTTGCATCACTCTCATTTCTTTTCCCAAGTTTTCCTCTACTATTCTAATCCCCTTCTTTTTTTCTTTTTTTTTTTTGCAAGGCAGTTGGGGTTAAGTGACTTGCCCAGAGTCACACAGCTAGTAAGAAACAAGTGATCAAGTGTCTGAGGCCAGATTTGAACTCAGGCTTTCCTGACTCTAGAGTCAGTGCTCTATCCACTGGGCCACCTAACTGCCCCTCTAATCTCTTTCTTTAGCTCTTCCAGGAATTCCTGTTGGGCTTGGGTTCAATTAGCATTTTAATTTGAGGCTGTTTTCTTTGAGATGTTTTTACATTGTTGTCTTCTAAGTTAATGTCTTAATCTTCCCTTCTTTTTATGGTTAAGTTTTTATTATTGTTGTTTTTGTTGTTGTTTGCTCATCTTTCCAACCCGTTTCTTGACTTTGAATTTTATGTTAAAGTTACACTCTGCTCATCTGCGGATGGGCAGGCACTCTCCCAAGCTTCAAGCTTCAGGCTTCTTCAGGCATCTATTTTCAGAGCTAGTTCTGGGGGTCTGCAAGTTTTTAGTGCTTCCAAGGTAGTGTGATCCTGGGAGAGGTGTGGTCACTGTTCTCCTTGTCTGTACTCTAGTCTTTACCCAGGATAGGCCCCTGCTTCCCTGCAACCACAAGTACCAGAGCTCTTCTCTGCCCTGGAACTGCAAATCAGAATTGCTTATAAGGAACAGACTTGTTAATCAGTGCCAGTGCTTCACCCAGTGTCAGCAAAGGGTTCTCTGTAATCTCTTTCTGACCAGCTGTCCAACCCCTTTGCTGTCTCTGGGCTGACAGCTCCTGAAGCTACTACTGCTGTGGTGGACACCTCTAAGGC